TGGCATACCATTTGAAAAGTTTAACAAAAGTAACTGATTTTATTAATTATATGTTGGGGAACCTCGATTGTCAGGCAGCCCTCCCCAACCAAATCAGACCCAACGAAGTAATTCTAATTAAATGTTTCTTCTTCGGCACTGACATTGGGATGTGTCATTACGCACTTACGTCCTTATAACCCATGATGTTAAGGACATAATGACACGTCCTAACGTTGGTATCGTAACTACTACATTTTGTGTGTGTGTATATAATATATATATTTTTTCTCTATACTAACTTACTCTGGTGTCCTGTGAATTGGAACACCAGTTGGGAGAGAGATAAAGGGGTGGGCCAGTGAAGTGATTTTGTTCTTAGCTCTGCCTTTAAAAGGACAGACCCACTTGGAAAGGGGGTGGGTCTGCTTGAGATAATGACAGGTCAGCATGGCATGAATGCACGCCAGACTGCCAGTCCATCATGAAGGCCAGCCCAACAAGGGCAGGATATGCAGGGAGCATGGATTCAGTGTTCCTGGCAGGGTCTTAATTCCCTAATCTAATGTTAACTCTATTGTTGTGCTCATGATATGATTCTTAGGTACAGTTCCCTGGTGTCCCCAGAAGTGAAACACCAGGGAACTAAGGCAGGACAGCAGAAAAGGACACAAAATTCAACACTATCTCGCTGAATTCAGGACTGTTGGGAAGCATGGTTTTCTTAACTAAATTTGTAATGGTTTTATAGCAGACATGGAATAAAGCATGTGATCTCCACGATGGTCCAAGCCAATGCTCCTCATTAGCTCTGGGGACTAAATGCACATGCGTGGTGAGTGCACATCCATGCTTCCACATAGGAAAGCATTACATTAATGCTTTCATATGGTAGTTTCCTCATTACATGACCATTTTACTCAGTGCTGCACATGCCCCTCTAGTGGCTGTTTTTTTATGACCTGCACTAGAGGTTGATTTAACCCTGCAATGTAAACATTGACGTTTACAAAAAAATTAAATATACATTTTGTTAAAAATGAGGACCACTAATTCATTGAGAGGAAGTGGCCTGGCTGATTTTAGTGGTCCTTCTTAATTATCTCACAATGTTGGATTTGTCTTGTCTTAAGGGCTAATAAATATAAAATATGCTTAGAAGAACAGAGAGGATGAAACAGCATTGTCTTTGAAAGCAGCAGAGCTCTGTAACTTGCATAGCTTAATAATCCAAGATGGTTGGGAAGAACAAAAGGAAATTAGAAACAGGCTGCATATAATAATAATATAAATAAACAATATTGTCCAGTGTGCACTTGAAATTGTCTTGTAGGTGTCATACGGTTGCTCCAAAAGAGAAGTCTTTATGATATAGGAGGAAAGTAATGGTACTTGGAAACAAAGAGTCTGATAGCCTCACAAATCCAGGTGGGTTCTGTAATATTTAAAGACCAAGATAATAGTAATATAGTTTGGCCAAATGTGAAAAATAGAGTAAGTGAAAATACACTCACAAGGAAGCTTAAAACAATATAATACTTTCCAATGATGTGATTGGACACTCACAAAGAAAGAACTTCCAATTCACTTTAAGTAAAGGCTTGAAGCAGTATAGTCCTAGCTCATGGATCTATCAGAAATTCTCTTTTGGAACTTCTGCATACCCCCTATAAGACCATGTCAAGTACACACTGGACAATATTGTTTATTTATATTATTATTTGGCGCAGCCAGTTTCTCTTTTCTTTGAATTATGAAATCTGCTCTAATTTGGGGATGTACCTTTCACCATTAATTTTAATCTTGCCTCCCGTGTAGCCACAAATTGTAGTATTTCTCTTCTGCTGTTACACTTTCAATACTACTTTAATAAGAAATGGAGCGAAATGTACAAAGAATGGCCACTTTGAACAAAAATATGACTTCTAGTTTTCATTTCATTGTAATTGTGATTTTTCCATCCAAACATTTTCATACAAGGTGTTACATTGCAGTGTTTTTTTGTTTTGTTTTTTAAATTGAAAGTTTCATACAAACATTCTATTTTGTATAATATTTTATTTCCTTCTCCATAGTTCCGAATAGGGCATATTAAACAGAAAAGTAACCAATCTCCAAAAGATTAAAGTAACCCTTTTATGAATAGCCCACAGACTCCAAGGACTGATCTTTCTATGATATAAATCAGTGGTTTCCACCAATCTTAAAGGCACCTGTAACAGACCGTTTTGCACATAAGGGGTAAAAACCGTTTAGGCGATCGTCCCCCTTTCCAGAGATGCAGGCAAAGCTACTGCAGAACACCAATCCGCCAAACAGGAAACCATACGAATGCTGTAAACAGCCGAATAGGAAAAACCATACGAATAGGTTTACACTCCTAGCAGTCAAACTGGAACAGCATACAATAAATCCCCCCAAGAACGAGACAAAGCTCCGTGTTGAGGGTCAAGCAGTGAACAGTCAGAGCTGTGGGTTTATTGTGCTTATGTACACATTCTTACACATTAGTACCACCCACAGGGTTTTGGAACACAACCAATAAACACATACAATACACTCAGACACTCCCACACAAATTCCTCCCCTCTGCATGTGATTCAATTACCTTACACAATGGGTAATGTAATTTAGCACAAGCAGAGAAATACAATTTTTGCACATTATTCATAACTTGAAAAGTATGCATCACATTCACATAAAACGTTACGTTTTCAGAATCAGCATACTCCAAATACAAACATACGTCAAAATCATACAAATTGGTCTAGTGGTTCAAAAGATCGATCATAGTCCTTTGTGACCACAGGAAGCATGGCTTTTCTGCCCAAAACCAGTTCCACAGAGTCTTCTATCCTGGAGATAATTAGATGTAATCCAATTATCTCCAAAGACAGAGGCAGAACTCCATTGAACACATGGCAGCAAAAAGACAGTAAAATAGAATAAAATACACAAGGTTACATTTATGACATAAAATACAGACATGCAACATATGCCAAGATAGCTTAGGTCTGAGCGCACATTATTACTGAATGGCGCTCAGAGCACACACATACAGTTCAATTGCCATGGAGCCAAAGTCTTTCCCATAGTCTTTCATTATACGAATGGGCTCCATGGCATTGCTATCTGGGGTATCACTGCTCAAACAGGGCAAGCACCAAATGACCCGGCTTTCTTGTCTTTGCAGGGGAAAATCAAGCCTTTTAACATGGGTCCATAATCCAAAGGCAGCAGGCGAGCAACCAGGCTTCTCCAATGCAATGTGGCGAGATTGCTCTCGTCACAGCACCCTACCAGTCCAGGATTTAGGGATTATCCAATTGTGCGTTAGGTGTTTACCCAAAACACCTTGACACAACTGGGTAATCCCTAAATCCTGGACTGGTAGGGCTGCTTTGAAGATTGGTTAGCAACCCACTCATATAAAGTATAAACAATAAACCCATATCTCATACTATACTCATACTTTTATGGCACCACAGTACCTATGTCCTGAAGAATTATCTTTGGAAAGTACTCAAATAATGAAGTAACAATGCAAAACTTGCTCTATTTCCACTGAGGTAATAGTCTCTCTCAACTTAATTTGGTTTCAAATTTTTTTTCATATCTCCTCATAAAGCTGGGTTTTGTGTCGTTCTTTGTATGTGCAGGGATTTTTAATAAATGTAGTGGTTGAGTGATGCTGTGACTGCAATGACTTTATTGCGTTACCCAATTTGCCAGTGGCATTTAAACCAAGTATTTTCAAATGTAACCCTATCATAAGGTTTTTCACAAAAAGACAGTGTGTTTGTTGCTTTCACTGAATTCAGAATTGTGAAGGATTAAGAAGGGTTTGTAAATTTTAGGCTAAAATAACTATATTGTTAGCATTTTGTTGTTTTTACCGGCACAGCTATTTCAGTCTAGTGTTTGTATTTCTCCACGATTTTCTATTGCAGTTTTACTTTCAGTGAAGACCAATACATTAAAAAAATATGCAAAAAAATAACGCCACCTAATTTGGAGAACCAGTTCAGGTTTTGAACCATAGTAAATATAATGGTCAGTCAGAGGGGTGACTGTAGATAAAGTGGTGTAACAATAAGTATCGCACTACATTTTGCGTAAGACGTTAATATTTTATGCCATTTAAGGGATCCATAGGTCAGAATGTTTGTTTTTGTGTATTATTATTTAGACTATCATTAAAAGCTGCCAGTGTGCTAAGGGAAATGTCTTTCACAAAATTGACTAGTTTAGATGTAATTGTTTTAGAATGAGGAGTGTGCTTCTTTTTCCAGTTTGCTGTAACCTGAGATGGGAGACCTATTGTGCCTGGTTAGCCGGTGATCACTAACCGGGTTATTTACTAGAATGAAAATTGTCAGGAAAGGCAATTTAAAGTGAAATACAAATATAAGTCTAAGATAACCAAACTCCTCCAAGGTTGTTATGCTTCCACTTCAGCTATTTTAGCATCAAATTTGAAATTCACTTTGAATTCCAACAAATATAATTTTAATTAATTATCTTAAAGGGACACTGTAGGCACTGTAACCATTTCATCTCTTTGAAGTGATTATAGTGCCTCTATTCAGAGTTAAACCACGTTCAAGCACTAAATAAGGGTCCCTGGTCACCTACAGTCCAGCCCCTTCTGGAGGTGTGGCTATGGCAGAGATTAAACACTTCCTTGTAGTCATACCCATTTATAATGTCAATGGAATTCTAATAGGCTAAAAGTGGTCAGCTGACACTCTGTCAATCACAGCTGGCAACTGCTGTTTAGGCTAATACTTACTCTTTTGCCAAATCAGCACAGAAGGGATGGGCTGCTGGGGACTCTTGCTTAGTATCAAAACATAAAACCATTAAAAATTGTTTATTGAATTAAATGATGTCAACAGGGGACTCCAGACTCTAAAACCAGATTATTTAGATGAAGCAGATACAGTTAATACAGTGCCCTTTTAAAATTGTTAGGCTTCTGATACTTTTTTTTAGTTAGTTCTGTGTTTGTTTGCTTCTCATTATATCTTCTTCAAGTTGATGTGAACTCCATTGATGGAACGTAGGACCAACTGTGGAACTTTTAGTGGCTCGTGTTGAGGGTCGGACGTCAGATCAAATCTCTGTAAAGTCAGAGCTACAGCCACTTTCATCTCGTTCATTGCGAAGTTTTGTCCGATGCAGTTCCTGGAAACACAATAGATGTACAAGTTCATTATGGCATTCATTCGAAAATAATTAAAGGGACAACATGATTTATGACAAGTGGATTACAAGATTACTTTCAGGCACACAGTAACATTTTATATATACATTGTATTAGAAAAACCACTAGCAAAACATTTAGATAAAAAGATCACCTCTGACTCATTCAAGATGTTTTGTAGTACTCCATTTTAAGGTACGTAAATGGGTGGGGCTGAGAACGAGTTCTGACCGCCTGGTGTATTTCATGGCATTTGAAGTCACACATACACGAGCACAACATCTAGTACAGACTTTCATAAGCCAGCATGTTTTACCATTAAAATACAATTTCAATAGGGATTTATGTTACTATACTGATAATATTTTGATAATGAGTGGAAGCCATTTAGTGTAGGTATAAAAGCTAACCATGTTTTGTAGGATGCTGGCTTAAAAAAAGACTACTAAAGTCAGCTAGACCACTTCATCTCAATGCTATTTTGCAGATAGCCACCAGAGGTGCTATGACTGATTAAAACTTGGTCACACCATGTTGCATATCATAGTGCTGTGTCTAATGCTTTACTATGAGAAGCATTGGATGAGTTTGCGACAGTCCCCAATGCTCTTTAATAAGGAGTATTGGATTGGACCAGCGATGAGGAAACTTCTTCTCCTCGATGACGTAATGATAGGTGGAGGGACTTTCAGCACTGGAAAAACATGAGTAAAATTAATTTTTTTATACATTTTAATTTTAAATGGGTGGGCCCACTAAACTAACTATAGACTAGACCCCATAGTGTTATATATACAGGTTTCTATTCCGAATGAGTTTATAGTACACAGAAAACAGAATATATGAGCATTGAACTTTGATGACACTTACCTTGGTCCAGCTGAGAAGGGCAAGAAAGCATATGAGTGTCTATCAGTTGTATTTTCAGAGGAAAATCGCAAGGGATCAAAAACCTGAAAAATGAGCATTTTAGATAATGTGTTATATATATATATAAACCCATGGCATAAAGTCTATAGTTTTTCACAAAAAAACTGGATCTGCACTCCTTCAGGAGAGCCAAAAAGGGTGTCAAGCAATCTGGGCAGTACTACCCAAATTAACAGCAGAAAATCCAAAAAAGGTTCGGGCACACCAAGGCTTAATTTCAGACAGCCTTACGGGAACATATTTCAACCTCTCCTTGTCTCTTTGGCTAAGGCCTGCTTGAGAGGTGGAAACGTTGCTAGTTTCAATATGTTCCAATAAGGCTACCTGAAATTGAGCCTTGGTGTACCCGAGCCTCTTTTGGCTACATTCTATAGCTGTCAGTCACTCTATTACCTGTTATCTATGACCTACCACTCTGTAATCCCTCATCCTGTTCACTAATCCTACCAACAACCAGGGCCGCCATCAGGGGGTCACGGGCCCGGCGGCCCTGGAGGGCCCAGCTGCCCAGGCCCCATGTTTAGCGGCGGAACTGCCACCGGTGCAGTTCCACCGGGGCCTGCACGCTGATGGGGCCCATCGGGTGGCCCACGCACTTAGAGCCTCTCGATGGGACCCATATCTTCAGGGGCCTGGTCAGCGCTGTGGCCGTGGTATAGCACGACCGGGCCCCTTTAAAAAAAAAAAAATGCCGCCACAGTGCACGTGCTGCTGGGAGGAAGGGGTCACTTCCTCCCAGCTCACTCCAACGGGAGGAGCGCGCGCCCGGCAATGAAGAGGAAGAGCCAGCCGACTCCCAATCCCATCAGTCCCAGCCACCCTCCTGCAAAGACAAGGTAAGAGACAAGAGGGTGGCTGGAAAATGAGCTGTGTGTGTATGTGAATGTATGTCTGTCTGTATGCATGTCTGTATGTCTGTATGCATGTCATTATGTGTGTATGAATGTCAGTGTATGTATGTCTGCATGTCATTATGAATGTGTGTATGTATGGTGTCAGTGTCTGTATGAATGTATGTATGCCAGTATGAATGTATGTTTGTATGTATGTCTGTATGTATGTATGTCTGTATGCATGTCTGTATGTCTGTATACATGTCTGTTTGCCTGTATGCAAATCATTATGTTTGTATGAATGTCAGTGTATGTCTGCATGTCCTGATGCATGTGTGTCTGTATGTATGTTAGTATGTGTCTGTCGCTATGTACGCCTGTGTGTCTGTATATGTGTGTATGTCTCAGTATGTGTGTCAGTATGTATGCCTATATGCGTATCAGTATGTGTGTCTGTTAGAATGTATCAGTGTGTGTGTGTGTGTGTATCTGTGTCCTTTTGTATCAGTGAATGTGTTTGTGTCTGTGTATGTATTCCTGTGGGCGGGATTTGGAGGTGGACTCTGTGGGCGGTTTTGGAGGCGGGCCCCCAGGGGCCCAGACCCTGAGCTCAGTTAGGGGCCCCAAAATTTCTGGTGGCGGCCCTGCAACAACCAAACCCCCTCATGGTATCTTTTTTTACCACAAGTGCCCCATGAACCCCGTAAACAATTCCCTTTCAATTCCTCCATCCCCCGTTACATGACTTTTTGAACCAGGACACTATAATAATAAAATAGTAAGCACAAACAGGATTATTTTCATAGAAGAGAGAAAAAAAGCACAAATGTAGTCCCTCTATCTCAAAATTACCTCCGGGTCTCTCCAAAGTCTGGATGATCTGTTCATGGCATAAAAACTCAGAAGTACAACCGCACCTGTCAGTTGGTAGAGGGAATCAGAGGGATGTAAAGTCCTGATAAAATTCCAGTAATACAAATATTATAGTGTTATTATGTAGGTTTTTATATTGAATATCTGACAAATTAAGATCCTGATCCAGACTGATCTTCCTGTAAAATCCTGTCTACCGAACATCTTTCTGCATTTAACACTTTCACTTTTGAGTATAAAGGAATGTTTCATATTAATTTGGAAAACGCTCAAATACCCTGATTATGGTCATATTTCTAATTAATCTACTGGCGGTTTTGGAAATGTAGATTTCCAAAGTGTCAGTAGGATGCAAGCATTGTGACTGTAGGTGAAAATAACACCTACATAATACAGGTCCGGTGCTAGACTATTTTAAAGTATGAAAAAAAGCAAAAGTTGCCAACTTTGATTTTTAAAAACAGATTTGAAGAAAAAATGAAGAGCATACAACTTAAAACTACTAAATTTCATGAAATAAACATCATTTCCTCCCAGCGCTACCACAGAGGAAAAAAGCGGGAGCACAGGAAAAATGTGTGTGTACTTGTTACAGTGCTTTTTTAAATTTTTTTATTTAATAGTACTTTTTAAATTAAAAATCCATTATGTAAAAAAAAATATGTATGACATTATAAAAAAAAATAAAAATTAAAAAAAGATTTCTATAACATCCATACGTTTTGGGATACACAGACACAAATACAAGTTGTCAGTAACAGTATGTCAGACACAAAGTCATTGGTGCACACACTGTTTAACCAACACACTTTCACTAACAGACACACAGTCAGATACACGTACACTGACAGGCACACATAGTCACTGACAGACACAATGACATACATACAATCTTAATGATTTGACACTTACTGACAGACACACTCACAGACAGATACATTCATTTTTATATACCCATGCATGGGATACAGCTTGGTAACTAAAAAACAGAAATGAAACGTCACATAGTGATGCATTGTAACATATGCTGAATGAGGTAGATAATGACTGAACACACAAGATGTTCGATACACTCACTCATTTGACACACACTGACAGCCACACTCACTGACAGACACACACATGCACTGACAGACACACACATGCACTGACAGACACACACATGCACTGACACCAACTCACAGACACACTCACTAGTTTGACACACTCACACATACACATTCTCTCAAACACACTTACAAATTAATTTAATTTATAGGATTTTTTGAAAATAAATTTGAGACCCACCCAGCCTACCTACCTTTGGGAGTGCTGGGGTGCGTCATCTCCCTGGGGCTGCATGAATCTTCTTGTTCTTCCTCACTGCTCCCTCATGCACCATTTAGTGATGCCGGGGCCTGAGCGACATCATATTCCAACTCCTAGCATCGCCACAGAGGACGCACGAGGGAGCAGTGAGGAATAGCTCACTATTCATGCTCAGCCCTCCCTGGACACCTTGTTTTGGCAGAGAAGGCATCTGACATTCAGGTAAGCAATAGTAAGTGAGCAGTTGTCTGCCTCCTTGACAAGGGGAACATAGGGAGGCCTGGTCTGACTCGCGATCTTAGCAAACCCTGTAGTTTTGCCACTGGCTGCGCCATAGGTGGCTGTGTACTCCAGGTTGCTGCGTTGTTTGCCTAGTGGTAGTGTCAGGGCTGTCTACATGCAGTAAATACTGTTGCCTAAGTGACTGTCACCTCAAACCTAACTTTCTTCTAATGTTTTTCTTTAATTTCTTCTATTTATCTTTAAAACATAAGACAGAGTAGGGACTCCTTTGCTGTATGCATTTTTCCTTTACTTAAGCTCAGGCTTAAGGCAAGCTCCACTTCCTTTTTCCACTAACAAAGGGTGAAGCTTGCTTTGGGCTCCACCCTTTGTCAAGATTGCCCAGTGTAGTAAATATACAGAAGATAAAGAAGTCCCTAATTTGCCTTAAGTTTTAAAGAGAAATAGATCAGATATGAAGAAAAGAAGAACAGATTCTTAAAGATAAAGTCAAAAGGAAACAATACGAGAACGGTAAGTTTAAGGCGATAGTCACTTTAACTCAATCAGGCATCTGTGTTTGAAAAAAACATTGCAGACTGCTGCAACAACCTATCAAAATGCTGCAACGTATGCAAAGACCTTGGACGATGTTCAGGAGCCCTGTACACATTGTTACGTGCAGGCTCCTGTACGGGTGTGGGGGGGTGACACAATTTGCATTAGTTAAAGAAGTATCAAGGGCACCAACCGCAGCTGTTTATCATAATTTGCAGAAGAAGGTGATGATATATCAGTGATTATTGTAACAAAACCACTGTGTTCCTACATAGTGTTGACGTGAGATAATAACAACAATAGGATACAAAAAATGAAATAATCATATAAAATACACGAAGAAAGTTAAAACGGTTAGCGCTAATAATAGAAATAGATAAAATGAAATAAAAGGCAGCAACCTGATAGGGGGTCACCCTCTAACCCTCTACAATAAGAGTATACACAAAAACAGAGAAAAGGCTGCGCCAAATAATAGTATTATTTTATTTTAAGGTAATTGACAACTGACCTTTTGGTAAGCTACGTCCATCATGGAATGTGATTGGTTGAGCCAGCTGTCGTGCTACCCCTGGTACTGGGGGATAGAGTCGAAGGCTTTCTTTAATGCATAGGTTTGTATAAGTCAGCTTCCCCAAATCTTCCCTGTCACACACAAAACAGAGAATCTTTAAAATCAAATCTATATACCTATGTCAAATTCTTCATTACAAAATTCAAGTCAAAACGGCTGAATTAGCTATATTCTCCATCGCCAAACGTTTTTAACATGGCTATTTTGTTTTTAAATAGGTAATCTTCTGGTCTATTCCCACTTTAGTAAATAGCCTTTCTAGATACATGGTATTATATTATTACATGTGATGTGACGAATTGCTAGGGGAATTTTCCAATTTATGTCAAGAGAGAGCTAGAAACCAGATGATTTGGAGAATTGTTCCAAAGGTTTTATTTTTGGTTTCAATTTTTAATTCTCAAGTCAATTACTAAAAGTGCATAATTTATGCCCCAATAACGACGCTCTCAAATGTGGAGTTACACCTCCGGAAGCAAAAGAATTAAACTGAGTATGTGATGTAAATGGTGACGTCAGAACAGAGAGTTTCTAATGGAGTTCACTAGAGTTTAGTTTTTAATGGCTAGTTAAGGGCAGGGTTTTAATGGTACAGGGTTGCAAATGATTAGAGATAAAGACCCACATCATAGATTAAAGGAGTTACCAAGTTGAAGAGGGAGTACAGTACAATTAATATTGTAACTTCCTTTACATGGCTGCGAGTGATGGGAGTCACAGTCACATTTCCTTTGTCCATTTTTAAGCCAGAGGACAATCTCTAGGGGTATACTGATGTCATAAGGATAAAGGGTTCAACATGGTGTAGACTGCTGAACCCCAATGCTGTTGGGTTACTCATTATTGTGCTAATAATTGTGAATATTCTCTCTGTTCCCTAATTAATAACACACCTGCTAAACTCAGAGTAATGCTGTTTTGCACGTTATCTTAATTGTGATATTTTACGTGTAAAACAAAAATTACTTATTTTTGCTTTATAATGATTTTCTAAATTTCTGCCATTGTCTTTCTGCATGTAGAATTGTGAAATTTGGGATTAGGCAGTGTAAATGACAGACATTAAGGATTTCCATAAAATTTAAACAGATTGAATATATGCTCTTGACTTTGATCATTGTGTGAATGCAGAGTAAGTGAGGCTGAGGTAAAAAAAGCAATGATTCTAAATTGACACACTGTCCATCAGTATTAAATGGGAATAGGTCCACCAGAAATATTATATTGTTACATAGACAATGGCACTTCTTAAGAGGTAACTGCTTGAAACAGACTGTCAAAAAACTGGTAATATGACTGAAATAATGTAGGTCCAAATGTCTAAAAAAATATACCAGAAGACTCTCACCATTCCACTGTATCTCGGTCACCCAGGACCTCTCTGATCTCCTCTCGACATTTCTGCTGGTGCTCTGGGTACTTGGCCATACAGTACAAGATCCAGGAGATCCCACTGGCTGTTGTATCGTGTCCTTCAAACATGAAGGTGTCCACCTCTGCTCGCAGGTCTTCGTCAGATAGACCCTGGCCATTCTCATCCTGGTGAAAGAAATAAATAAATAATTTAACGGTCTTAAAAATATAAAACACGTTTTGTGAAGGCTCCAAGTCAGATTTAGAGTAGTTGAAATCGTTTTATCTGATTTGATAGATTTTAAGTGATTTTCCCAGAGACTTCACAGCTCATTTACGGTAAAATATTTATTAACAATGACATATGTCGTATTTAGGACTGAATTTATTAGGATAAAAAGATGCAGGGGATAAATGCTATAATTTACCCTGAAGTAGGCTGTATTTACTTTTAGAGGAACATTTCATGCACCATAGCATCTAGTGTCCCCGTAGTAGTTCTGGAGGAATGGTACTCTTTGTCCCCTGCACATAGTAACTTAGATCTGCTGTCAGGGCCAGATTTCCCATAAGGTCTCAGTGCGGCACACGAGAGTAGGGCGGCCCTGCTGAAACCCTGTATCATTGGTGGTACAGCAGGAGTGCTCAAATACAAAGGGGAATACCGCATGCCCCTTCTCATCTGGAACCCGTAGCAACAGATCCTCTCTCCCCGCAGTCAGCCAAAGGAACTGCAGGAGAGCGAGCAGAGATAAAGTCAACGTCAGAAACCCGTACGACATTGCTGTTTGCAGTTACTGCTGAAGCTCTTACACCGCTGGGCAATGGGGGGATTAGAAGAGGGACAAATGGAAAGGACGGAAGACTAGAAGTGAATAACTGGGGAAGATGGGAAATAACAGGAGAACAAGTGATTGAAAGGGTAGAGTAGAGGGTTAGAGGTGATGGATGGATGGAGAAGACAAGAGGAGAGCAATTGTGTAAAGCAGGGTGGAAGAGTGGAGCAGGTGATTTAAGGAAGAGCAACAATCTGAACAAGCGAGAAATGGAGGAAAGAAGATGAAGATCAAGTAAAGGTTCGGGGAAAGAAGAGGTGAACAAGTAAAGGGAGTGGGAACTTGGAGTGGGAATAATTGGAGGAAGGGAGGCTTATTGGGAGAATGGCATAATTTGGGAAAGGGGGAGAGGAATACACATGAGGTAGAGATAAATGAATAGAGGGACATAAAGAGGGGCAGAAACAATGCACAAACAAACCCACACATTGACACTAAATACCCATGCATGCACACTAAAACATCACACATATGTGTTCCTGCATGCACCTACTGTCACTCTATAAAAACACACCACTATATTCACACACTAGCACTCTACACAAATACACCTGTCATTCACATGCACCCATTAGCACTGCACACAAACATGCTCTTACATACACATTGCCACTCAGCCACCCAACCAGCCACATATTCTAAACTGATCACATTCCCTATCCATCCAGTTAGATCGTCCCATCCTACCTCCCAGTCATACCCTCTCCCTCTAGCTCGGGCGCATAGAGGAAACAGGCATTGAGACAGTAGAGAGGGTAAATCCAACCCTGTCTGCAGTGTCTAAATATGTCCCACGCTTACTGTAATAACGTAATAACATCATTCTTCCACTTGATTTCCAAGTACTCATTGAGAGCTTATTCAGTATTCACTATACAGTGTCCACCTACTTTAAATTAGATCAATCACAGCTTTCTGTCCCTGTACCTGTACCGGTTCTGGATCTTTAGTAAGGGTGTTGAATCAGAGCAGGATTCATGTGAGATTATATTTTATGAGTTTTTACTTTAGGAACTGATATGGGGATTATCAGGTGAAAGATATTACCTTTGCGCACAGAAGGATATCAAGAAAATCCAAATGTCTCTTTTGTTGAATCTTCTCCAACTCTTTTTCATATTTCAGTGACTCCTTTCTCTGCTTTATTACTTTCTCTGGTTGACGAGAAATCGAATGTAGTTATTTAAAAAAAAAAAAGAAGAAATTTCAAGAACAGAATTGTGATTCTAATGCAACCTATATACTATATTTCCAGTGTGAGAGCAAACAGACCCATATTTGGAATCTAATAAAAACAGCAATGATCAGTCAAGTGTCAAAATATGTAAGCAGATGTAGCATCTGTGAAAAATGAGCAGTTTTAGTTTTAATTATTATTATTATGTTATTATTTATATAGCGCCAACAAATTCAGCAGCACTTTACAGTGGGTGGACGAACAAACATGTAGTTGTAACCAGACAAGTTGGACACACAGGAACAGAGGGGTTGAGGGACCTGCTCAATGAGCTTACATGCTAGAGGGTGTGGGGTAAAGTGACACAAAAGGTAAGGATAGTATTAGACTAATGACAGTTGCAAGAGAGGAATCAGTCGGGAGCTATTAACAGTTTAATTTATACGCTTTTATGAAGAAGTGGGTTTTTAATGATTTAAATGGCAAATTGTTAACTTACTAAGTTGGGTAAGAATGTACCAACCAAAGATGTCCAGATACATCGTATTTAATAAAATAGACACTGACCTATAGAACCACACTTGTGGCATATTATAAATTAAACCAGTTTTGTGAGATCTATGTCAGTGAAGGGGTCTATTCACAGATACACTTTGGGTCTCGTTAGTGTTGACTCTCCTTGGTTTGAGTAGATCCAAACCTGGACTTTGGTCTGAAAGCTGTGAATACAGCAGTTTACTTCATCCTGTAACGTAGTATTTGTATCATTTGTCAAACCCAATAAAAAGTGTAAAAAACAAAACAATCCAATTACCAGTGTGTTGATGCGCTACTTTTAGTGCTCTTCGAAAGCGTAATCCGTGGGGACTCAGATAGTATATAAGGTCATTATGATACGGGAAGCAGCGGAATCTGTGATCAACCAAGTATGACAGCTCGTAAACTGCTTTGATGTACGCGTTTTCACTGTGGAAAAGAGGTTGATATAGTAGATATTCAAACCGACAACACTAAAATGCTAAAGCTTGGTATAAAGGCAAGCTACCATATAAATTATTTTTGACATGTCGTAACTTCTATTAATAGCTGCTACTTTACAAAGCAGTGTCAGCCATAGTTATTTAGTGCAAATATACAGTTTTTTTCAATTAATTGTCTTGTCCAGTGTAAAAATGTGTATTTGTAATTATTATTATTATTATTGCCATTTATATAGCGCCAACAGATTCCTTAGCGCTTTACAATATTATGAGAGGGGGGATTTAACTATAAATAGGACAATTACAAGAAAACTTACAGGAACGATATGTTGAAAAGGACCCTGCTCAAATGAGCTTACAGTCTATAGGAGGTGGGGTATAAGACACATTAGGACAGGAAATATCAATCAAATAGGGTGGGAGTGAAGCAGAGCTGGAGGAGAGGGTAGAGAGAGCAAGAGATAGATATGTGAGGTAGAGGTTACTCTGGGAGGCCATAAGGTTTTCTGAAGAGATGGGTTTTAAGGCTCTTCTTAAATGATTGAATACTAGGGGAGAGTCTGATGGCGGTAGGCAGGATATTCCATAGGAAAGGAGCCACCCGCGAGAGGTTCTGCAAGCGCGAGTTGGCTGTACGGGTGCGAGCAGCGGTCAGGAGGTGGTCACGGGCAGAGCAGAGGGAACGAGAAGGGGCATACCTATGGATCATTGAGGAGATATAAGAGGGGCTAGAATTGTTCAGTGCTTTAAATGTATGGGTTAGCACTTTGAATTGGCTCCTATAGGATACAGGGAGCCAATGTAAGGACTGGCACAGGGTCGATGTGTGAGAGGACCGACTAGAGAAGAAAATCAGTCTAGCTGCAGCATTCATTACAGACTGTATCGGGGCAATACGGCTTTTGGGGAGACCAATCAGGAGAGGGTTACAGTAATCCATGCGGGAAATTACTAGAGCATGGACAAGCTCCTTGGTCGCATCATGCGTAAGAAAGGGGCGGATGCGGGCTATGTTTTTGAGTTGGAACCTACAGGATTTGGCAACAAACTGGATGTGAGGTTCAAAGGTGAGGCCAGAGTCAACTATGACGCTAAGACAGCGTGCTTGCAAGGATGGACTTATGTAGATATCACTGATTTGAAGGGAGAGATAGAGAGGAGGATCAGTATAAGGAGGAGGAAAGACAAGGAGCTCAGTTTTAGAGAGACTGAGTTTCAGAAAGCATGAGGACATCCAGTCAGAGACGGAAGAAAGGCAAGCAGTGACATGTTGCAGGATGGCAGGGGAGAGGTCCGGGGAGGAGAGGTATATCTGAGTGTCATCAGCGTACAGGTGGTAGTTGAATCCAAAAGAGGCAATAAGCTTGCCAAGAGAGGCAGTATAAAGAGAAAATAGAAGGGGACCAAGGACAGAGCCTTGGGGAACTCCAACCGAGACAGGATGAGGGGAGGAGGTATGCTTGGAAAAGGAGACACTGAATGAGCGTTGGGAGAGATAGGAGGAAAACAGAGTCACAGAGACCGAGCGATTGAAGAGTTTGAGGGAGGAGAGCATGATCAATGGTGTCAAAGAGGTCAAGGAGAATTAATATGGAGTAGTGACCTTTGGATTTAGCTGCGATTAGGTCATTAGTGACTTTGATGAGAGCAGTCTCAGTAGAGTGGAGAGGGTGGAAGCCAGACTGAAGAGGGTCAAGGAGAGAGTTGGAATTGAGGAAGCAAGACACACGGGTAAAGACAAGTCTTTCCAAAAGCTTTGATGAGAAAGGGAGCAGGGATATTGGACGATAGTTAGAGGGGAAGGATGGGTCAAGAGATGTTTTTTTCAGGATAGGTACTACAGTGGCATGTTTAAGGTCAGCAGGAACAGTGCCAGAAGAGAGAGAGCAGTTAAAGATGTGTGTTAGGGTAGGCACAAGACAAGGGGAGAGAGATTTGATGAGGTGGGATGGGACAGGATCAAACGGGGAAGTGGTGGGGCGAGAGGAATGGAGAAGCGCAGCCACCTCTTGTTCAGTAGCCTGGGAGAAAATCTGAAGGGTAGGGAAGGCATGATTTATGTGTGGTTGAGAAAGAGAACGGCAAGGAGGGGAGAATTGTTTCCTTAGCTGTTCAATCTTGTCGGTAAAGTAACATGCAAAGCTATTAGCTGTAAGGTCAGTTTGAGGGGTGGCTGCAGCAGGGCGCAGAAGTGAGTTAAAGGTGTCAAAGAGACGTCTGCGGGAGCATGAACTAATGAGAGAGGAAAAGTATGACTGTTTGGCGAGGGCGAGGGCTGCGCTGTATGAATGCAACATTAATCTATAATGGAGAAAGTCTGCCTGGGTGCGGGACTTCCTCCAGGAGCGTTCAGCACAACGGGAGCAACTCTGCAGATAGCGTGTTGATTTATTATGCCAAGGTTGTGGTTGTGTCCTCCTCGAGGTGTATGTTTGGAGCGGAGCTGCAGTGTTCAAGGCAGATGTGAGGGTAGTGTTATATGTGGAGATGGCCAGTGAGGGACAGGAGAGGGAAGGGATGGATAGCAGTTGTGAATCAATGTCTGCTGACAGCTGCTGGAGGTCAATAGAGTTAAGGTTCCTCCTGAGTTGAGAGGGTTAGGCTGAGGTTGTTGGGTGAGGGGGTAATTGAGAGCAAATGATAAGAGGTGGTGATCAGAGAGAGGGGAGTGTTTCGGATATTAGATATTGTACATGAATAAAAGAAAATAAGGTCGAGGGTATTGCCAGCTACATGAGTGGGAGAATTAGCCCACTGCAATAGTCCAAGGGAGGAAGTAATTGAAAGTAGTTTAGAGGCTGCTGGGGTCAAAGGTGGGTTAATGGGAATATTGAAGTCTCCAAGAATTAGGGATGGGATGTTAGAAGAGAGGAAGTAGGGTAGCCAGGCAGCAAAGTGGTCAAGGAGGAGAAGAGGGGAACCAGGGGGACGATAGATTACGGCAATGTTGGGGATGAGAGCTTGTATTTAGGGGATTTAGGAGGGGTGTGTGGAGAAAGGCTGGATAAATATGAGTAAAGTGTGTGTGATGAACACAGAGATGAGGGGAGCAGAGAGGGAGCAATGAAGATGGTGTCAGCAGGAACAGGTAAGTGAAATGATAGAGAGATATTGATAGTGAAGGAAGTGAGAGAGAAAGTGAAAAATAGAAGTGAGAACATTATTAGGAGAATAGGTGCTGTGTTTTTAAGAGCTGTGGTTAGGGGGGTAAAGGGTTAAAGAGGTATTGTGTGAGTTTAGCTATTTTAGGTGTGGAGGGTTTGGTGGACATAATTGGTTTAACAGGAAAGCTAGGTAATTTGAGCTATAAAAGTTGTGATGATCATTCAGAAATGCTACCTCTGCTTATGGCAGGTCCTGCAGGGATGTGTGCTGTGAGTCCTGGGTGTAGCTGTTTCAGTATTGTAAGGGGCCCAGGCTCTGCTTATGGCAAGTCCTGCAGGGATGTGTGCTGTGAGTCCTGGGTGTAGCTGTTTCAGTATTGTAAGGGGCCCAGGCTCTGCTTATGGCAAGTCCTGCAGGGATGTGTGCTGTGAGTCCTGGGTGTAGCTGTTTCAGTATTGTAAGGGGCCCAGGCTCTGCTTATGGCAAGTCCTGCAGGGATGTGTGCTGTGAGTCCTGGGTGTAGCTGTTTCAGTATTGTAAGGGGCCCAGGCTCTGCTTATGGCAAGTCCTGCAGGGATGTGTGCTGTGAGTCCTGGGTGTAGCTGTTTCAGTATTGTAAGGGGCCCAGGCTCTGCTTATGGCAAGTCCTGCAGGGATGTGTGCTGTGAGTCCTGGGTGTAGCTGTTTCAGTATTGTAAGGGGCCCAGGCTCTGCTTATGGCAAGTCCTGCAGGGATGTGTGCTGTGAGTCCTGGGTGTAGCTGATTCAATATTGTAAGGGGCCCAGGCTAAAAGGAGAGAATCTGGGGTTAGATAAATCAGATTGTGGGTGGAGAATCATTGAGGTGTTAAAAACAAAATCAAGGAAAAAGCAGATGAAAGGGAATTTAAAAGGACATGAGGGGATGGCGGAGATAAGATAGGTAAAAGTCATAAATAGGGAACATCATAAATTAATGAGGCATAGAGTGCAATAACTAACATTTAACTAAACAAGAGTTAAGTTAGATCTAAAGGAGTACCTCCCAAGTGTCCCTGAATGAGTAAGGCAGTCCTGATATGGTACCTATTATTTCCAGTCTTCCTGGATAATGACTACGATGTTAACCTTTCTGTTGTACAAGGAGTATTTAGGTAAATGTTTTTATTTTATGTAGAGCACCAGCATAAAAAGCAGTATTGTATAACCGGTTGTCCCTTTCGAATGTCTCTTGTTTCTGATTGTGTGATTTAATCTGTGGGCTCTCTGTATAATATACATTGCATGACATCACTTTGTATTTCTACTTCTCTCTCAATGTCCCCCCCAAATTACCACAAATTAATCTAATTTCAGAAACATGTTCAGATTTATCAGAGACACCACGACCACTGAATGGGTTGACCGCAGAAATAAAAAGCAAACAAGGGGTTTATCCACTCCAACAGAGAGTTGGTTGACAACCAAGAAGCAAATTTAATTTCATAACAAGCCCCTATTAAAGAGATCATAATCTGTGTGAGCCAATTTAGAATAAACTAGTTTTTATTAATAAGAATTGGAAATGTATGTAAACAAAAAGGGTTAGAAAAAATACTGTTAACTGAGGCTATTTCAAAATCATTATATATATTTATTTTTTTGTCTGAATTGTCTTACTTAGTTGTCGTTTATTTGACACTCACTGTTTAGTGAATGTGCTACTAGGATATAAATATAAAATTGTTGACATATTGTGCGGTATGCAGACAGCAGAATTTTTCAGTCAACAAACCTGTTATTCTGGCAGTCGCTTTGATAACTGAAGGCGCATTTCATGATGGTGTCCAGGGTCATAAGGCTGACAAAGTGAAAAAGCTCAATTGGCTTATTTTCAGGGACCAATCGCTCCCATTTGCCCTAAAATAAGATGTAAAGAAATAAAATCAATGTGTATTAGATAAGAAAACAAACAACATCTTGATGTGACCAGCAGCAAGCCAATCCATGTTTTCATCAGCTTGCCCTCAGCTAAGTCCTTCCAGCTCTCCGGAGTGAGTAGTGGAGGCAGGGAGTGGTGTTTGGCAGACCACAGGTAAGAAATCAAACCATTTTTTTTTTTTTTTACTTACAATGGAGGAAGGGGGTGCAAGAACACTCCTGGCACCCTGAGTAAGACATGTTAAGAAATTCTAACATTTTTTTTTTAAGGAGACTATGTAGTTTATAAAAGGAAGAACATGTCCAAAATGGGGTTTGGTGAAGGGGTTATCAGCGGGAATTACCAGCATGACTTTAGTGCAGTCCCCCATTAGCTTCACATACGGCTTCAGCACATCATAGTGAAAACCAGGGGTCAGCAGGCGACGGTGCTGGAACCACTTCTGTCCAGACAAAACCAGGAGACCCTTCCCTGAATAATGCATGAAAATCATAAAGGGTTAAAGCAAGAAATGCTTCATGGTGAACGCAAACAGAATAATGGAAATACCTAAAGAAAAATAAGAGTTAAAGGATTATTATAGGCACCAAGACAACTTAAGCTTAATGAAAAAGTCTACAGATCATGCCCTGCAGTCTCACTGCTCAGTTATCTGCCATTTAGGAGTTAAATCATTTTCATTATGCAGCCCTAGCCAGAGCTCCCTGGATATGATTTGCACAGCCTTCATAAAATCTTCATGTAAAGAGATTTCTAATGTTTAAACTCCGTATATAGCACATAATGTTTAATTTAAAATTTCTTATCTCCTGCTCTTTTAATAGCCTTCTAGACCCTGCAGAAACATCCTGTGTGCAAGAAAAACATCTAAAGTAAGTTAACATTTGATTGAAAATGAAACCATTTTTTTTTTATCATGCTGGCTGTGTTGGTCACAGCCAGGGAGTGTGGGGCTAAGGTTGCATAAACAGAAACAATATTTAACTCCTAAATGGCAAAGAACTGAGTGATGATACTGCAGGGACGTGATATGTACATTGAATCTGCATCATTAAGCAAACGTTGTTTTGATGCCTTTAATGTCCACACCAGCTAAAATACATGCGTTTGTGATTCAATCTATTTAATATAAGAACAATGTTTGTACAACTTTTGGGATCAGATGAGTTTCCAATTCATGCTGAAACCACATACACTTTTCTTTAAAGGTAAAGCTGTCAAAACTGAGGTAACTTTGCAGAAAAACTGATTTGTAAAATGTATACTTTATAATGTACAGTAAACATAACAACACAGCATAGGGGCTAGGTTTTAAACTGAAAGAATTTTGCTCATCACAGTAGCTTTGATGAATAGGAAGGCATTAATGTAAAAGACACTTCAGGCTCCCTGGTGGGTTTATATTATTAAAGGGACACTCCAGGCTCCCACACACATTAGATGCACTGTGTAGGTTAGGTTACAGTTATACAGGGTGGGTTTATATTATTAAAGGAACCCTCCAGGCTTCCACACACGTTAGATGCACTGTGTAGGTTAGGTTACAGTTATACTGGCTAGGTTTACGATGTTAAAGGGACACTACAGGCTCCCACACACGTTAGATGCACTGTGTAGGTTAGGTTACAGTTAGTTACACTGGGTGAGTTTATATTATTAAAGGGACACTCCAGGCTCCCACACACGTTAGATGCACTGTGTAGGTTAGGTTACAGTTAGTTATACTGGGTGGGTTTATATTATTAAAGGGACACTCCAGGCTCCCACACACGTTAGATGCACTGTGTAGGTTAGGTTACAGTTAGTTATACTGGGTGGGTTTATATTATTAAAGGGACACTTCAGGCTCCCACACACGTTAGGTGCACTGTGTAGGTTAGGTTACAGTTAGTTATACTGGGTGGGTTTATATTATTAAAGGGACACTCCAGGCTCCCACACATGTTAGATGCACTGTGTAGGTTAGGTTACAGTTAGTTATACTGGGTGGGTTTATATTATTAAAGGGACACTTCAGGCTCCTCCACACATTATGTACACTGTGTAGGTTTGGTTACAGTTAGTTATACTGGGTGGGTTTATATTATTAAAGGAACACTCCAGGCTCCCACACACGTTAGATGCACTGTGTAGGTTGGGTTACAGTTAGTTATACTGGGTGGGTTTATATTATTAAAGGGACACTCCATGCTCCCACACACATTAGATGCATTGTGTAGGTTGGGTTACAGTTAGTTATACTGGGTGGGTGTATATTAATAAAAGCACACTCCAGGCTCCCACACACCATATTATTTTTTTTAAATAACAAATAGTTTTGCCCTAAACCTGCCCTTTTTTTGTATTGCCAAAGAAACCATTCAATATCTAATTTCTGAATAGAATTAAAACTGTGTATTGTTGTGCTAATGTCCTGGAATATTTCCTGGAATAATGCCATTATAGTAATTTGTATCAAGTTACATACCAATCCACGGAGTGATAAAGTAGTATGCAAAATTATCCTTTGGATCTGTAAAACAATATGACAATTTAATAAAATAAGCTTCACGAGAAACTCTGAAACATGCAATCTGTACGAATAATTGTATAGGGAATTTAAAAAGTTTATGGTCTTGTTAAATCACAAAACACACAGGTGTTCTGTATTTTACATATGCACACACACACAGCACTGTGCACCACTGTTGTGTATATATCAGTGTTAATTTTGTCGACTAACAATTTGTCAGATTTTAGTAGACTAAGGTTTTTGAGACTTAAAACTAAAACAATTCAGATGACTAAAATACAACTAAAATGGCTTGTTAGTCAAAATACTATGACTAAAACTAAATTAAAATGTTCCGCCAAAAGTAATACTGCACAGAGGAACTGTGGAAGGGGCAAAAGAGACAGAGCAGGACTGGGAGCGCACAAAGAGACACATGGGTGCTGGGGAATGGGCAAAAGAGACTTATAGAGGCTTTAACTAAACCCATAATTTTAGTTATGTTGACTAAAATCTACTGGAGATTTAATCGACTAAAATCTACTCGAGATTGTAGGTATTACATAATTATAACAATTTATGGAATTTGCTAAAAGACATGAATAACTCAGGAGTTTGTCATTTGCATTTGAAGTAATTTTATGACATAAATTATAGCTCTGCAAATTCTATTCATTTTACAGACCCTATCTCCATGGAGGAGCATGTATGGCTATCTCTCCTTTTTGATGTGAGACTCAAGAGAGGATTTGGTGCTGTGCCAAGTTTGTCCACTACTTGTTTGATAACATTGAAACTATAACTATTTTATTTCAGCTCTTTTGTGGCTAGTTAGAATGGTATCTTTGATGGTTGAGTGGGCCTTTCTTTACCACATACATATTTTGTGCCATGTAGACTAATAAACTGGGCTGCAGAGGATAGCTATAGACACTGTAATAATACAAGGTACAGACCACATTGTCACTTGTTGAACTGTATAATGGGACAATCAAGACATCTGAAAATACAAAATTGGGGCCGTTATGATGTCTGCTGATGTAGCCGCCATTTAAGGGACGGCTTATTGAATTTGTTCTTGTGAGTAGAATCATTCCCTTCAGGCTTTTTGCTGTAAACACTGTCTTTAATGAGAAAATGCAGTGTTCACATTACAACCTAGGGATACCTCCACTGGCCACTCCTCAGATGGCTACTAGAGGTGCTTCTTGGGCCAGTTCTGCACAGTGTGACTGACATTCAGTGTCTTCACCCTCTGCATGGAGACACTGAACTTTCCTCATAGACATGCATTGATTCAATGTATCTCTATGAGGAGATGCTGATTGGCCAGGGCTGTGTTTGATTTGTGCTGGCTCTGCCCCTGATCTGCCTCCTTTACAGTCTCAGCCAATCCTAAGGGGAAGCATTGTGATTGGTTCAGAGCACCACTCCTGATGATGACAGCAGGCAGTTTCAGAGGCAGACATGGGCAGAGTCAGCAGCTGCAGACTTGAATACAAGTAAGATTTTACTATATTTAGAGAGGCAAGGGGGGCTAGGTTTTAACAAAATAGGGCAGTAATGGCTAGGTTTTAACACTATAGGGCAGTGATGGTGAGCCTATGGCACACATGCCACAGGTGGTACCCCGAGTCCTCTCTGTAGGTATGTGACCATAGGTCGTCAGGGGAGAGAGGGGCCACTGGTGCCGGTTGGCAGCAATGCAGAGTAGGCACCTGCCTGCCCAAAATGGCAGGTGTCTACTATGCTTTCATATCAAGAAGCAGAGGGAGGGATCTGGGAAGCAGCTCTCCTGTACTTCCGCAAGCAGTCTGTGGGGAGCGTTGCCACGTGTTACCATGGCAACACTCCACACTGCATTCCGTGCGCGGGAGGACAGGAGACCTGCAGCAAAAACCTACAGAGAACTTACCACCACAGGACCACCAGGGCTGGCTGTGTCCCCCCCTCCTTCACCAAAGGTAAGAAGGAGGGGGGGTAAAGATTTTAATATGTATTTTTCTATAATTTATTATTAAAAAAAACAAAAACACACACACACACACACACACACATTTGCTACCTGCAGCACCCCCCCCACACACACATCACCCCTCCCACCCCACACACACACACACAGCACCCTTCCCCCCTACATACAGCACCCCTCCCACCCACACACAGCACACCTCCCCCCACACACACAGCACCCCCCACACACACAAGACCCCTATGCACACACATCACTCCTCACACACAGCACACCTCACACACACACTCCGCACTCGTACACACAAACACATACACTGCACACCTCAATGCAATATGTGTGTGTTTATTCAGCAGTCTGTATGTATTCAGCAGTCTGTGTGTGTGTGTATTCAGTGGACTGTTTGCGTGTATTCAGCAGTCTGTGTGTGTGTGTGGTCAGCAGTATGTGTGTGTTTGTGTGTCTGTATTCAACAGTCTGCCTGTGTGTACTCAACAGTCTGTGTGTGTACTCCTCAGCAGTCTGTCTGTGTATTCAGCAGTTTGTCTGTGTGGCGAAACCGACCTCGCCACGTGTCCTTGGAGGGGGCTGCTTGCCCGCCTCTTGCCTTTGGACTATGGGCCAGACTTTATGTGAATGTGTTAACCCAGATAGCTATGCCATGGAGCCCATTCAGGTAGTTAAAGACTTCGGCTCCATGGCAATTGAACTGTGTGAATAGGATCTGAGCGCTATTCGGTAGTTTTGTGCGCTCAGATCCCAGCTATCTGGGGATATGTGAAATGTCTGTGTGTTATATGTAAAAGGTGACTTTATGTATTTTAAAGTGTTTTATGTATTTTTGCAACCATGTGCTCAATGGAGTCTGCCTCTATCCCTGGATAATTGGATTACTTTCCCCCATTGTCTCCAGGATAGAGGGCTCTGTAAAACCTGTTTGAGCCAGATAGCCATGTGTCAGCCAGGGCCCAAAAGATACTTTTACTAACTTTTGAACCCCTGGTCAGATTCATGCCATTTTAATATGTTGTTCCCCTGAATGGATTGATTGTGAATATGTAATTTTATGTGAATGTGATGTATGGTTTTAAAGTTATGAAAGTTGGATAGAAAGTATGTTTTAACTGTATGTGTAATTGAGTTTCCTCTCAGGATAAGGGGAGGGAATATGTGGGATGTAACTGATATGTGATTGGTTGTTTTATACCTCCCTGTGGGCGGTCCTGTATGTGAAAGACTGTAATAAAAACCAGGCTGGGTGTGCCAGTACAGTCAGTTCCTGTTTTAACCCTCAAAGTGAAGTGTCGTCTCATTATTGGGGGAAGGATTTATTGTATGCTGTTACAGTTTGACTGCTAGGAGAGTAAACCTATTTGTATGGTTCCTATTCAACTGTCTACAGCCTTCATATGCTTGAGAGGATTCATATGCTTCTCCGGTTCGGTGGTTGTGGTGTCTGCTGCTGTGCTTGGAGTCCTCAGGAAGCACTAGGAGCATCCTTTAACGGAGGTACCCAGTCGGGGTGCCAGGTGATCCGTTACAGTCTGTATGTGTATTCAGCAGTGTGTGTATTCAGCAGTTTGTGTGTATTCAGCAGTCTGTGTGTGTGTATTTAGCGGATTGTGTGTATGCATTCAGCAGTCTGTATGTTTGTGTCGGTGTGTGTATGTATTCAGCAGTTGGTGTGTGAATGTGTTCAGAAGTCTGTGACTGTATTCAACAGTCTGTATGTATGTATTGCATTTGTTAGAGATACTAATAAATATAAGCTTAATTTTATCTATTATTTGTATCATTATTTATAATTTGTATCACTGAAATCTCTGTTGTGTTCTTCTTTTAAAACAAAAGATGTTAATTAGTTCGGACAACTGTATGAGTTGTTTTTTCTAAACTTAAACCTCGGTATTCAGGTTTAATTGCCATCACCCTATAGTGTTCCTTTAATGCATGACATATACTGGTTTTGCTATTCTTGGTTGGTTATTCTAATTATCTTATTTTTAGAAACCGAGAACAATAAACATTACCTGTCTATTTATCAATATGTATAGAAATTACTGTTCGTATCACCTGCATATCGCAAGCTGGACTTTGTAAAGTCTGCCTTGGGGAAAGAAACTGAAGAAATCATGTGTGTGTTTACAATTATTACCAATTTACCATGCCGATAAGCACAAGTTGGGATTGTGTTTCGGACGTCAATCTGCTTTTCTACAGGTACACTTAGCAATTTATTTATTTGTTACTGGCATTTATAAAGCACCAACATATTCCATAGTGCTGTACAATAAGGTTAGAACGTACAATATACACAGACCAATACAAAAAGTAAAGAAGGCCTCGCCTGTAAGCTGAGATTTAGCCATTGAAGCTCTTTTATACAAAGTGCTTAGTTAGACAGTTTACAATCTAAAGGATTTAATGGGGATTTGAGACAAGAGGTAGCAGGGGAAATTTGGAAGTAGTGACCAGAAATTAACAGAGTTTAAGCTATTAGTAAAATGTAATGTCAGTCAGGGTGTCATAGAGCAATGGACACTGTTTAAACACAGCTTTGTTTTGTTTTTTTTAACCAATATGTGGGTTGTGATCCAAAATGCCCTGTGACCAGAAACCAGCCATGGACTGTACAATTTCAACCGTTAGGTCTTGTCAGCATGGCACAGGGTTCTGTCCTGGAAGCTGAAGTTTCTCTGTGAGCACATGTGCCAAGTTGTGCTTAAAACAGCATCCATTGCTAACGATATCTGGAGAAATGCAGAGAGAAGACTGAAACGCGATGACTGTCCGTGCTCGTTTGAATGTCAAGCTCGGAACTCTGGGATAGTTAGAGTTTCTGTTCCCAAGGCAGACTTTTCGAAGTCCATCTTGAGTTGTACAACAGTAATTCTTCTATCTGCACTGTTGGGAGTAATATTATATATAATATTAGGAGAAGGCATTGCTGGTTCTCACCTTGCCTTGACAAAATGGCCTTTGCATAGTCAGGATCATAAACAATGAGAGAAGCGAAGAAGTTTCCTAGCCACATTGGGTAAGCATTTGAAAATTTTTCACTATGTTCAACGACATTGTCCAAATCCTTCCCATCCTGACGGAACTGTATGATACAATTTAATGAAAAGAATGATATATGGTGATTACAAAGGTAACGGCATTCCATTATTTTTGTTTAAATACTGGACACATTTTGGATGAAGGCGAAGTAATATGTCGCACAAACATAATGTTAAAAGAAATACATTCTCTCTGTGAATCGATATGGTTTCATTTCGAATTGATGTGAAGACGAAAAGTACTAACATATAAAACTCCTAAAACCATTGATATGCGATTGATGTAGAGAACAAGTTAAATGCATGAACATGTCCAGTAAACGGTTTATGGAATGTTGAACTGATCTTCTGTACTGTTCTAAACCTCAATGAAAACTTGGCAAAATAAGAAAAGTAACAGTGTAGTGTCCATGAAAGTTTTATAAGTATTGAACATTTTCACTTACAGTTAGATCCCGAGTCTCAACCTGATTGAATGGACATTTTTTTTTTTTTTACTTATTTTCCTTTTTGTTTCCATTCTATGACTTACCTGAACTTGCTGGACAATGTGAAACGATAAAAGGGGTCTGAATTATTTAGAATAACTTTTAAAATAGAGGGCATCAGAATTAAAAATAAGATCTATATAAAATGAGGTTGTTTGCAGATAATATTATGTTATCATTAAAAAAATCCCAAAACTTTGATGAAATCATTGCTTTTAATATTGCAACAATATGGTGAAGTGTCGTGGTACAGGTTAAAATTGCATAAGACCCAGGCACTGCCATTTCACATTCCATGGCCTGCCTTGGTAGAATTGGAGAATAATCATTGTTTTGGTCGGAGGGACTCCCATATTGCATACTTGGGTACCAGTCTAAGCAAGAACCTGGCTAGGATGCAGGAATACCAGCTGGCAAAAATATGGCCGGATCTTAAACACGAAACGGACAGGTGGTGTAATTTAGAAATTTCATGATTAGGTAGATTGAATTTCATTAAGATGACCACCCTTCCTAAAATTCTTTGTTTTCTGAGAGCAATCCCTTTAGCTGTCTTTTCTCTAATAGAAAAATATATTTAAAAAAAATAATTAAATTATCGCACGTTAAAGTTATTGGAGGTTTAGGGATCCCAGATTGTAAAAACTATAACTACGCTACAAAGGCAGCATCTGTTCTCAAATTTAATTTGGACATCAACCTAAAAGGCTAGAAATGGAAATAGGAAAAAAAAAACCCACCCCCCATTCACTTAAGGAACGTTTATGGTTATCCTCTTCCAAATGCCCAAAGAGTTTCCCTCCACTAAGATTACCTTAAAATCCTGGGATGTAGTGTTTTGTAAAATCAGAACATCTACTAATTGGTCTAGAGCCATGCCATTATTGGTATTAAAATATACCAATTGCAGCTTGACTTTGCTTTTTGGTATTCATACTCCATAGTTCGTTTAGATGATGGTTTTTATCGGTAATTCCCTAATGTTCTTAACAAATTAATTAAATTGGCAAATTAAAAGTAAAATATGAACTAGAAAACTCAGGTATTGCAGAGTACAATTCTATCTCTTTCCATCTCATGTTTTGAGATTTTTAATACATTAAATTAGAAAACTCCGATTTGCAAAACACATATCTTTGTGATCCAGGAAGGAAGCGTTCCATCTCTTTGTGTTATTCATGTATTTCTTCCAGGCCTAATGCTTAAAAGGATATCATGTTGGCGTGGGAAATAGATTTAAAACAAAAATATGACCTAGAGGACTGGTTGAACATATTTAATTTAATAGAAACATAGAAACATAGAATGTGACGTCAGATAAGAACCATTCGGCCCATCTAGTCTGCCCAATTTTCTAAATACTTTCATTAGTCCCTGGCCTTATCTTATAGTTAGGATAGCCTTATGCCTATCCCACGCATGCTTAAAATCCTTTAATAGGACATTGTCACCAGAGGCTATGCCTGTTCAAGGGATTCCCATAAAATATATTTTAAATACACAAAATTATGATTGGACACATTTTAATTACAGCTACATAGTCAGATTTTGGAAAACAACCAAAGTTCCATCTCTTAAGGACCTTTTATATTTAATTATTGACAACAGACGTTATGAATTAGCACTAAGGCAACTATCACCCATAAATGACCAACTAAAACTGAATTGGAATATTTGGGAAGGTAATGCTCACAGTACATATTCCTTTAAATTTAGCCCGGTTGTCGTCTGTGCTGCCGGGCGATGAGGGAGGTAAGGAGCCCATTACATACTGTGCTTCTCCTGGACAGCTCCCTTGTGCGCCCTGCAGTGAGCTGGCTGTTGAGATATAACGTCATCCCAGCATCACTGCTGGGCGCAAGAGAGACGTGTGCTGGAAGAGCACAGAGATCCCAGCCCAGCAGCAGCCGCTAGCCACCAGGGACAGAATTAATTTCCACCCTCCTGGGGCTTTTTTTAGTACTGAATGTATTTTGTGTATGCTTTGTCAGTAATTGTGTGTGTGGGGGTTGGGGCGTGTCTGTAGAGGAACTGCAGACTGAGACTATCTCATGATCCACTTTTCTGACATCCATTTTGGGAAAGGGGCTGAGCTTATGGTGGGATCTGCAAATATCAATAGCTGCCTGGCAGTGTACTTTCTGCCACCCTTAACACTAACTTAATTTTAATTAACAGGAAAATTCCAGGGGACACTTGCCTCCTCTTGCTTTGTGCTCAAGGATTACGGAATTCAAAAATGTGAACATATGATTCACAACATAGATAATCAAGAAATATTTTAGTAACAGATATTAATATGTTTAGAAAACAGTAACACACCACTGTCAGTTGTGATCCTGCCCTAAAACACCTTTCACCTACAATGTTACTGCTGATTCAAAAGCGAGCCAACCCACGGGCTGCTGTATAGATAGTCAATAAGAGATATGTGTTATCAAGATGAACACACTTGCCCTCTGCAGTCCTAAATCAAAGTACACACTCCATTCACTTAGACTTAGAAATAAACTGGTAGTCAAGTCAAAAGGCTAAACAAAAATAGCAGACCTGGAAACTGTATTTGAGGAATGAATTGGTTTGTTCTAAATTTTATATTAATGAATAAGCTGTTTTGAAGTTGGAAGGACATTATTAACATAAAATGATTCTCATAGCTGAAGTAATTACATAAATTTTGTAATATAAGTTATTGTAAATTCATGTGAAAGATAAACACAGTTTATTGGCTGTTGTGTAATCTATTTATCCATGCCAAGTATTAGACTTGTGCACGTGCATAAATTTCAGTCTGTCTGAAACGATTCGTCCCAAAACTATTTTGTTCCAGGTGAATCGGTTTTCATCCATGTGGCATTTCGGTTCAGTCAAATTTAGTGTATGCGATTACAACAAAAGTTTTGAACTTTTTATGGTCATTATCTATATCTATACGTTTTCCTTTCATAGATCGGTAGGAAGTAATTACAGGGAATACTGATCAATTAAAAAGGTGCTTCTCTGGGGTCAACATACTAAACGAGAAATTTACAATAGATTTCTGTATACTGTATCTCACCATCCAGCCCTTCTGTCCAGAAAAGCCACTGTTTTGCCTTGATAAATCCCCACTACAGACTCTGCATCTTTGAACTCATATTGCTATGGAGAATAAATATATTCACCAATTTTTACTTGGTCGACATGGACTTGCTGCCATTTTAATCTGGCACTGTCCTAATAATGACATAATGGAAGAGGAGTTAAAGAGAAAAAATGTATTATTATTATTGAGATAGGAGCAGAGGAGACAGAAACATAGATTATTATTGGGAGAGGAGATGAATTAATGGCATTGACTGAAGATGAAACTCCCTACTAAACTTGTGTACTGTATTCGGGTTTTAAACGAATCACGATTGTCCAAATTGTAAACAATTGAGGAATTGGGAGAATGCTATAAAGCTAACTAACTATTGCAACTCACTACTCATCGGCCTTCCAAATACCCGCATTGCCTCTCGTTAGTCTATAATGAATGCCGCAGCCAAGCTCATCTTATTTACTGACCTCTACTCCAACATCTCACCCCTTTGCCAATCATTACATTGGCTTCCTTTACCCTTCAGGGTCCAATGCAAGCTGCTATCACTAGCCTACAAAGCCCTCACTACCTCTACTCCTAACTATATTTCCTATTTACTCAACAAACTACCCCTTTTCATTAATTTCACCCAGAAAGTTTCCTTCTGCTGGCATCTACTCATTCCCTCACTGCCAACTCTCATCAGCAAGATTTTTCTAAAGCTTCCCCATTCCGTAAGAATTCACTACCCCGTGCCATCAGACTCTCCCCTAGACTCCAGTTCTTTAAGAAGCCACTGAAAACACACCTCGTTAGGAAAGTTTACCATCTTCCTGGGTGACGTTTCTTTCATTTCACTGCCCTCATTAGTTCCCTCGCCTCCATACCCCGGCTCACTCTCTCCAGCTTATCTCACTACAGGTATCTCATCCATCAATCTTTCCAACCATCTGACATGCTGTTATGTCTTTACCCCTTCTTCATAGACTTTAAATTCATTTGAGCAGGGCCTTCTTCACCTCTTGTCTGTTATACTCTGTATATAAATAGCTTGTTGTCAAATATCCCCATTTTATAATTATATTGGCACTATATAAATTAAAGCAATAATAATAATGAGTTTGTAAACAGTGAGAGTGCTGCATTAGTCCCTAATCTGGATCCCAACCCTACTCTCGTTGCCACCATTTGGTCAGAGTATACACATTATATCTGCCAGGCTCCCAGTAGCTGCCCACAATGCATTGTCTACGGCGCCAACACTGACCTTGAAGCACAGTCAGTGTGTAATGAACTGATCTGGCTTCCTTGTAATATTGGAATTTGCCTTTTGTTACATTGTAAAATGTTACGTAATGTTTTTTAAATAAACAAAAAAATGTATTGTGTATTTTAATAGAGCATATTGTGTAGTATTCGATGATTTCCAGTGATGGTTGTTATGATAAGGCTCTGGAAATCCACAGCCCTATTGAATTTGCACACAGTGTAACTGTTTATCTGTAGTAAAATTTTGCTTTTTGATCTTTCGTAACCCTCCCTATAAGTATACTGTTTTCACCCGAAACTGGATTACATCCACAATACATGCCCATTACAGATACTGCTCGTCCTGTCTCTACAATTCGGGGTGCATTCTGTTTCTACTGTAAAATTATTCCACCTGAAAGCTCTACATCTCTCTCAGCAAATTCCAGATTTAACTCTATGTTAGCCTTGCGGTTATCGCCTTCATTCTCCTCACTGTCTGCATAGAAAGGATATAAAGACTGTAGATAAAGGTGCTTAAGCACATGGAAAACCTATATTCAAAAACATCTCAACTCGGACAAGAACCACGCACCCTCCAAACAAAAACAAAAAAATCCCTTTATAATTTGCTCTTTATCTTAATAAGTAGGTTATGTTTTTTTGCGAATTCTGAGCTGCATGGTGTGTGACATCATAAATACATTGTTTCCAGTATTGTATTGTTTGAGTAACACCATGAGCTTCAGGCCCTTAATCTCAGCGCAGCAATGAGACTTGTACCTCCCGGCCTACTTGAAATTAGTAGGTGCTACAGCTGCTGCCATTTTAATCTGGCCTTGCCCTAATAATGACAGAATGGGACAGGAGCAGAGGAGACAGAAACATTGAGACATTATTATTGAGAGAGGAGCAGAGGAGACAGAAACATTGAGATATTATTGAGAGAGGAGCAGAGGAGACAGAAACATTGAGACATTATTATTGAGAGAAGAGCAGAGGAGACAGAAATATTGAGACATTATTATTGAGAGGATCAGAGGAGACAGGAACATTGAGATATTATTATTGAGAGAGGAGCAGAGGAGACAGAAACATTGAGACATTATTATTGAGAGAGGGACAGAGGAGACAGAAACATTGAGACATTATTATTGAGAGGATCAGAGGAGACAGGAACATTGAGACATTATTATTGAGAGAGGGACAGAGGAGACAGAAACATTGAGACATTATTATTGAGAGAGGAGCAGAGGAGACAGAAACATTGATATATTATTAAGAGAGGAGCAGAGGAGACAGAAACATTGAGATATTATTATTGAGAGAGGGACAGAGGAGACAGAAACATTGAGACATTATTATTGAGAGAGGGATAGAGGAGACAGAAACATTGAGATATTATTATTGAGAGAGGGGCAGAGGAGACAGAAACATTGAGACATTATTATTATTATTGAGAGTGGGGTAGAGTAGACAGAAACATTGAGACATTATTAGTTACTTAGTTACATAGTTACATAGCTGAAAAGAGACTTGCGTCCATCAAGTTCAGCCTACCTCACATGTTTTTTACGGTGATCCAAAAGAAGGCAAAAAAAAAACCTAGTTTGAAGCACAATTTTGCAACAAGCTAGGAAAAAAATTCCTTCTTGACCCCAGAATGGCAGTCAGATTTATCTTTGGATCAAGCAGTTATTATTGAGAGGGGAGCAGAGGAGACAGAAACATTGAGACATTAGTATTGAGAGAGGAGAAGATGAGACAGAAACATTAAGACATTTTTATTGAAAGAGGAGCAGAGGAAACAGAAACATTGAGATATTATTATTGAGAGAGGAGCAGAGGAGACAGACATCATTATTGAGAGAGGAGCAGGGGAGACAGAAACATTGAGACATTATTATTGTGAGAGGAGCAGACTAATTATAGATTTTTTTCACTGCCCAATCTCTTTTCTCCCTTTTATTTGTGACTTCTTCTCACTAAATCTGTGAACCAAATGGGGCAAAATGCATTTATCAGGGAACTGCAAAATTTATACATAATATAAATATTACATTTTTTTTAGCAGTATATTAATAAATATTATGTATATATTTCGCAGTAAACCGACAGACGCATTTTCACACCATTTTGATTTGTCCAAATCGAAAAGCCACATGGACAGAAACTGATTTGCCTTAACCAATTTTTTTTTCAAATGACTTATTTTTTGAGACAAACCAGGTTTTTGGTGTTGTGCACAAGCCTACTCCCTACATTTCATGTCTTGGAGCTGCTGTAACAAAAATGGAAAATTATCCATTAACACAAATTAAAAAATAAAATCATGTAATGTAAACAATATATAGAGCTAATGTGTGTATTTCGGACAAGTAATGTTATTGTGTGATTTTGGGGCAATTCGTAAAACTCCTCTTAAAACGCTCGCTCTCAAATGTATTTATTTCTATATTCTATATTTGTATGATTTCTATAGATAACTTTTTTAAGCATCTGTAATCTGTTCAAAAATTTCGAAAGAAAAAACTGTGAAAAAATGGAGTGTTCTACTGTTCACTTATGTTTAAGTTAATGAAATGGCAGTTAACTATATTTATTTAGATTAAAAAAAAGAAAAATCAATAAAATAAAAAACACGGGGGGCAATCTTTTGAATTTTAAGCCCATTAAAGCTGATCTCTCACCCACCTGGAGACTAGAAGCTGGGGTCCCATACACAAGGGAGTACTGGCTCCAAGGAGAGGCTTGCAAGGAGTGTTTTAGTCCCTTGGAGGGCCATCCTTTGTCTACCCAGATGACACCTGCTCGGGCGGTGAGTGGAGTGGATGGCCGCTACCCTGTTATCCTGCCCGACTGTACCCAGCAAGACTCCCGACACTATTTGAACCTGGCCCTGTCCCACCCGCTGTGGACTGGCAGATGTGATCCCAGTCCACACCCTGTGGCCCCCACCATTAACACGATCCATCAGCCTGCAGAATCGACCAGGAGTCTCCAATAAAATGGCAGAAGCCGTGACTCAAGCAAAATGCTTCAGAGAGGCAGCTGAGTTTCCCTCCCTGCAAGATAACATCTCCCCAGGGCTGTGGCAGACGCGGCTGAAGCTCACCTTAGACTCCCTCAGGATAAAGCCTGCAGATCGGCTGCAACACGTGGCTCCTCCAGTTCTGGTCACCCACACTGGAGACAGAACAGAGGGATCAAAACCAATCACACTCGGCTAGAAGATGGCGGAACACTTGCATCAGGTGGTCGGTGTGGTGGCGATCGGTGTGGTACCAACACTCTGTTGAGGGATATCACTTATTTCACTCAGCCTATTTCCCTTTTCTTACTCTCGTTCCAACTCCAACTCTTCTCAAGTTAGAGTGCAAGGGCTACTCTAATATGGCAGTCTAATGACACAGTGTTCCAAAACCAGCCCTGGAGACCCGGCTCTTGCTAAGTTATACTATACAATGTGCAGAATTATTACACAGTCATGTTAATGTTATAATACGTATTCTACAAAACTTTAAATTAATGTTGTGGCACAGTACGCCGACTTGTAATTCTATGCACAAACCAATATAAAGAATAAAAAGAAAAACAAAAAAACACCCATCTAGCTACTTTCCAGACTTTTCTGTTTTTCTCAACATGACCATTTTGTACAGATATTGCTGGTTGATTATCAGCTCAGTACACGTCCGTGCTATCATGACAGGTGAACATATTTGCTTTGAACAATAAAAAGTTTCTATTTATAGTCGGTACCCGCCTACCTATTCATTCTCCTTATAGTCATTACATACTTGTCTATGCACAGGATTTTGTTACATAAGGCACACTATGTACGTGTTCATGAATTTTCACACCCTAATTTTAAAGGGGTACGTTACTGTAAGCAATATAACCTCTACAGCTCAATGTATGATTACGTTGCTAATAACCTTGTTGTTTTAAAGGTTTTAAAGGGATACTCCAAACATTGTAACCAGTCACTCCAGCCGGCTGTAATGGTTATGAATTGTGAGAAGTAACCTGGTCCGGTTACCTGGTAATTGGAAAAAGCAATTAGTAACGGTTTTCTGGACTCTAAAGGTTCACAGCTGGAAGCCGATGGCGTCGCCATTCATTGCCTGAGACCGTCAGCTGACTCTGTCAATGGTTGACATTTTGTGCAATGAAATTTCCACAGAATTGACATAAGCCAGCCCAGAACACTTGTTTCTAGATTGGTCGATGACACCCAAATGATGCTGCCAGAGGTGCAGTTATACCTCCAGCGGCAGAGTTTTGTACTGAAAATTGATTAACAGAATAACATGTTCAGCACTTTGTCCTGAATGGAATTACTAAGTAAGCTGATCATTAACAAACATCATAATGGTTGTATCATACACCTTAAGCTATATGATTCCACTTGGGAAATTCTAGAGACATGTGTCTAATCTATAGAGGTCTATTCACTAAATGTCACTAAAAGTTGTACAGCAGTTTCCAAGCAACTCACAAACTGAGGACCAGGTTAGCTGAGGTATTTTAACCTTGTTTTTATATTTCTAATTTAATTGTTTTGTCCCACATTTTATGTGCTGGTTGACAGATAACTACACTGGGAGACATGCTATGTATTGGGGGGATATTATATTGGGCTGGACGGGAGGTATGTTAATGGGTATCACTAATCACTACCTGCGAGTCAGCCAATCAGGGCTGCCAAGCAAAAAAGCACTTTGTCAGAATCGCCGTATGGGCTAAAATATCTGGCACTGGTGTCATACAGTGTGAAATAGTTAATGAAATCACATGCTTTTTGCAGACAAACGTGAAAACAAACTCATTTAATATTTTATTTGTAGAATAGATTAGGTGATAGCATCCATTAACCCCTTAAGGACGGAGCCAAAGTTGTGATCAAAACAAAACGTGAACAAAAACTGTAATTTGCGCTTTATGTCTGTTCAACCATAATTCATAAATCTCAAATAGTGTGAGAAACTCAGATTGAAATTTTTTTTTTTTAAGTTCTGCGTGGCTTTAACTGTGCTTTAACTCCCAGTATCCTCCCCACCCCAGCATTAACCCTCTCCCTCCCAGTATTCCACAAAATAATGCTTTATTTATGAAATAAATAAATGGCAGTGGGATTATAAAACACACTTAACGCCGCATGACTTCCAGTTACTGGCAACATCTTCTCTTTAGGATAAACTTACGTATGATGTAAATAATAAAAATTAAAAAAATGAAATTGGTTTCTTGAAAAAAGCAAACACTAAAATAAATTCTAACTTCAATTTATGTATTATCTTGTGCAAAGATAACAGAGGGGACAATTGCTCATAGTGCTTGTCACAGGCGGCTCCGTAGATTCAGTAACACACTATGACTTGTGTCCATTTCATTTTGAGGAATATTGTTCTTACCTCATGTGCATTGCCATAGAGCCAGTGACGGCTGGGACCAGGGAAATGTCTAAACACAGCAATCAGTTCCCTCCGCCTCAGATAAAGTTTGGTAGCTGTGAACAGTACAAACAAGGCACACAGCCAGGCTGCCCATTGACACAGCTGATAGACATTTTTCAGAGACAGCAGGTCAAGCAGCACAAACGATGCCATGCCAATAATGACAGACAGCAACTGTGTTGCAGCCCTGGGAACACATTCAATAGCTCAGTATACAGAGCTCTTAATGATGTCACAGGAGGCACCGTATAGGAAGAAAGGCGTTTATAGGACGAGGTCTAGAGGCGGAGAACAGGGCTGCAGCATGAAAGGGGGAGGGAAAGACAAGAGAACTCACACAGAACAAAGCCTGGTATGGTTTGCTGGACAGCTCTAGCTACAGAAGCACATACCGAGGTTGTGTAATTCTTCACGCACTGGAATGAATGAATGAAACTACAAGACACAGAAAGGCATATCTGACAAGGACGGATGACGGAAGAAAAACTTTCAGAATTTGTATTATTTAAAATTTGCTATGTATTATGACCTCTGTGTGTATTATTTTGTATTGTGTAAATGTAAGTAAATTCCTCATTTTAGTGCATCTCGTGGCTAACCCTCACTCCATTGAGTCAGCTATCTTTAAGTCCTCTTTGGTCACTGCCAACTTGCTGAATCTGGACTTGGACATTGCCGTATCTGCCAAGACCATGCATAGTTTGAACATCCGAAACCAGCTTACAAAGCATTTTAGCTGCCTGGTACTTGCGATGATTTAGGATGTGTGCACACTAGCTTTAAATGAACACTGTACTGACTATCATAACGTCTTTTAAATGAAGTTGTTATAGTGTCTACAGTAGTTCTCCCTCTATCCCAGGTTCACAAAAGCAATGTTTTTTGATAGTTAAAGGGCTTGTAAGTGCAACTTCAAGCCACACCTCCAAGCCCTAGTAGAGCCCGGGCTGCTACTTCCTGGCTCTTATAACCTAGCATACCGTGTTGTCACGCACGCATGCGCAGTGCAGTTACATTCTGTTATATAGTAGAATCATTGTGTTCAGTGATTCTCTATGGCAGAATCATAGGCACATCACCTATGACCCCCAGTGCTTCGTTACGAGGAGCACATGTTTAACCCCTTAAGGACACATGATGGAAACATTCCGCCATGATTCCTTTTTATTTCAGAAGTTGTGTCCTTAAGGGGTTAAACCGTCATCCTGGAGATGACATCAGGGGAGGAGGAGATCAGGACGTACTGAAGGAGGCTCGGCGCTGGAGAGTAGGTGAGTAAAAACATTGAAATTTAGAGAATTGTAAATCGAACTGATAAATTGAGGCTAAAATGGCCAAACTATTGTCAACTGATTAGTTGAGCTGACACTTGTTACCTAAATATTGTCAATGCTCTATAATCAGTGTTTAGTGAATAAACCCCTATGTCTACTTTACCTGTGACTGTTCTGATTAATTTATATGCGCCTGTAACAAAATGGCACATTTGTATTATGCTTTTGTGTTAAATAAGAAAAATATTTTATTCTATACACGGTTTAATGAAAAGTATATCAGGTCATCGTAAAAAGGTTCATCAAAATGCTGAAAACCTCGAAAAACAGAAGTTTAGGGCAGAGTCCCTGCTAATTGGTAGAGAGGGGTCAGCCGACACACTTAGCCAATCAGAGGCTCCCAATTCACAAAACAGCTTGAGAATCGTACATATTTTTCTCAAGCCTTTTTTGTAAATTGGGAGCCACTGATTGACTGAGAATGTCAGCTGATCCCTCTCAACCAATCAGCAGCGGCCTTGCCTGCAGCAGCCCCAAGCATCCATTTTGAAGTTTTTCAGTAAATGGAAGGACAGGAGGCAGAGAGATCTGGTGCTGGAGCACATACTTTGGGGTTAAACCATTCCTGAACAGTTTAACCCTTAAAAGTGAGCCAGGACCAGGGATCTCTTGGCACCAAAAACAACTTAGTTTTGATTATATTGTTATGGTGCTTGGAGTGTTCCTTTAAGGATCCATATTATAGTCCTGTAAAAATTTTAAATCTTTCCTTTCCATAAGACATCCTGCTACACATAGATCACAATATTATGGGGAATGTACTATGAAGGACAACAACAATTTAAGGAAATACATCTTTAAAGGATCACTATAGGGTCAGGAACACAAACATGTATTCCTGACCCTATAGTGTTAAAACCACCATCTAGCCACCCTGGGCCCCTCATGCCTCAATAAATATAGCAACATCTTACTGTATTCAAGCCTGAAGCTGTAACTCTGCATGCTGTTAAACTCAGAAAAACAAGCAGTCTGCTGACATCATCAGAAGTGGTAGCCTGATCCAATCACAATGCTTCCCCATAGGATTGGCTGAGAGTGACAAAGAGGCAGATCAGGGGCAGAGCCAGCACAATTTAAACACAGCCCTGGCCAATCAGCATCTCTTCATAGAGATGAATTGAATCAATAAATCTATATAAGGAAAGTTCAGTGTCTGCATACACTGAATGTTTGGATGCATTTTAGGCAGCCATGACCCAGGAAGGATCTCTAACAGCTATCTGAGGAGTGGCCAGTGAAATTATCACTAGGCTGTAATGTAAACACTGAATTTTCTCTGAAAAGACAGTGTTTACAGCAAAAAGCCTGAAGGTAATGATTCTACTCACCAACAAATTCAATAAGCTGTAGTTGTTCTGGTGACTATAGGGTCCCTTTAAGAGATCAACATTTTTGAAATATCAGTGATATACTGATAGGTCAGATATTTTCATTTTGGGCCGATTGGCCGAATTCCCAAATTCCAAGCCAAAAAAGACTTTTAATTACGATAATTATGGGCTAACCAAAGCACACAATGAAGAACATGTTGGGCTGTCAATATTCTAAATTCTGCATGTGATGCAAAATATGGAGATAATTGATGGGAAAAAAAGGTTATTGATATCTACCACACAGTCACTAAATGTTGATTTTATCCATAAATCAAATGAGAAATGACCAATAGATGGAAAACAAGAGGAGCAGTTAAAAACTATGCATACGTTTCTTTTTCTCACTTGATATTTAAACTAAATAGCGTGAAAATGCTCCTATCAGTGTACAGCAAATTATATACATAATATTATAGCATGTATGTATTTTTACAGTACACTGATTGGCCAATGTTTGTGCCTTTTTGGTTTGTTCTTCCAATTTGGTTCCTGAATTGACATTCAGCCGAGCAGAACTGACACCCAACCGAATTTCAGGTGTCCTGAAAAATGTTCTATCTTGGCAAAAATTGTCAGAACTCAAATTTCCCACAGTGCACAAGAGATAATGGGATGACAAATGACTACTATGGGTACCCGATAATGACCCTTTTATCTTCACAGTTCTTATCCAAGGTGAGAAATACATAAACATGTGAATAATAATTATCATACACGTAATGAACTCAACTGGATGTGTTGACAAATATATAAACAAATGTATTAGTACACAGTTTCAATATACACTAAATAACAATTCAATTAGTGCAATTCCGTTAGTAAAATCCACATTCATTAGATTGGTAGAAAATAAGTTACAGCAGCTTGTCAAAAATTGCAACAATGAAAAGGTCCACCAATAAAATAAAAAATTTATATTAGGAAAATAATGATCACTGAATGTAACTTTTTATGCACTGTTTAAGTTAATCAATCATTGTACAATATTTGCATTGTCACTATCACCAATAAATTATGTAAGTAATATGCAAATTTACCAGGTTTCCCGGGAAATCAGACATTAAAGAATATGAAATACATTATTATACGCCAGGCATTCTTGTAAGCCAGCTTTCCTGGTTTCTGCAGTGGTTTGATAGATTACTCAGATAACACTGATTAATTAGTGTATTTGTAGAAGGTACACTCTATACCACTATATAAGGATCTCTGAAGTAATGGAAAGAACTGCAGCTCAATAGACTTGAGAAAGCCACTTTGGTGAAACGCGTTGTGGATATTTTAACTGTTTGTTTTAAATAGTATTTAATAAAGGTATCTTGGCCTCTTTCCACTGTGAGTGTGCCATTTTACTTTATTATTATTTTTTACCTGGCATCCGATTTTAAGTTCCAGTGAGGACTACTCCAAAAAGAATCCACGGTGGGGATTAAACCACTTACGCCTACACATTGAGCAGTTAGTCTGCCGAATTAAATGTGAGTACCTATTCTTTATTCTTGTAGCGTTACTTACCTTAACCGGGGGCCGGTCGCGGTCCTCTCTTCAAGCCGCGCGCGGTCCTGCGGCTGCACGAGCCGCGCGCGGCTCATCCGACTGCTGTAGATGGAAGGCGGGCAGTGACCGCGTGCAGCGGTCACGTGTCCCGCCTGAAACTAAGAGCGCGCCGCGAGTCTCGGGCGCGCTCTTAAAGAGACAGTGGGAGCCTAATTGCCAAAAGGCTCCCATTGGCTCCTGTCATACCACACTCCCTATACAATTACCTTTTGGGGGTGTGGAAGTGACAGGAGCCAATCACTTTCGTTTAAAAGCTATTTAAACTTACCTTTTTCCCTTAGCTCGTTGCCCTATCGTGGTTTCTGTTTCAGTTCCCTTTAGCGCTTGTGGTGTTCAGTTGTGTTTTCTCGTATTGACTTTGGCTTCGTATTCTGACTTCGTTTTCGCTTTATCCTTATCTGTACTGTTTGCCGGCTTGCTGTTTTCCGTGTACCAGACCCCGGCTTGTCCTAGTTTACGCTGTCTCTCTGTGCCCTTGACCTCGGTTTGTTCCTGGCTCTGTCTCCTCTCATATACGTTGAGTCCGGCCATTCTAAGGTCCGGTAGACGTATCTCTCTTCTGTATTGGCTTCTGTTTAGCTGGATCCTGCGTGTAGGGGTATATTCTCGTTACATTACGATAGGGCCATGGACCCCGCAGATTTAGCTCAACAGATGGCGTCCCATGAGGCAAGATTTGTAGAGCAGGATCACCGTATGGATCAGATAGCCCAGGCTCTCCAGACGCTCCTAGCTAGAACCGTTCCAGCAACCACACCTAACCCTCCTACGCCCCTTCTCCCTGAAGTATCTACTTTGCCTAATACTTCGGCCCATTTAACACCTCCTCCTAGGTATGGAGGGGACTCTAAGACTTGCAGAGGGTTTATTAATCAAATTGAATTCC